AAAATAAAGGACAAAATTAAAAGCATAAATACCTATAAAAAAGTATGTTTAAAAGTTAAAAAGCAATTTAAAAAAATAACAGCAACATTAAATATTTCTGCCCACAGATAAATTTGTACAAATGAAGATAATATTGTAGGAAAATGTAGTTAATGTATCTACAAATGGTGAGCAGATTTGAATGAAGTTATACTTAATTATAAGGTTCCTCCAAAATCTTTGTATCCTGAATGTATCTCCTAGTTGACAGGATGTATGTTGGATTGTAAAGTAGTCTCTATGTTAGAGACCTAGCTTGCATAGAATATTATGAACATACTTTCGGTAAAGCTGGGCTTTGTGGCATACTGGCCAAATGTATAAACCTGCTTATACTGTCATTATTATTAGCAGGAAATGCTGCATGAAGCACAATTGTGATTAAGGTTGGTAGCCTAATCTACTCTTTATGTTACTAAAAACATTAAGTGAAAGCCTTAACTAAAGCCATGATGGGTGATGGAAATCAATATTTATGGGTCCCTGTTGACAACTATGGCCCACAGACAATTGCAACTTGGAATGCATGAAGGATATACTGTATATATATAGTAAAGAGAGTGAATTAAATGAATAAAATTTTTTAAAAATGTGTGTTTGTGAAACTAAAAGAAAGGGAAATGCTGTAATAGAACTAAACAAAGGTGGCCTGGTATTACAGAGTGGAGCTGATGAATAGTTGCATGATGAGAGGTTTTGAGTATGGGACAGACAATTTTTGGTAGCATCAGGAGTGGATCTGGGGGAAAATGGACTTGAAAGAAAAGGAAAAAAGTGAAAGAAACTAGAGTGAAACTAGAGTGTCTGCAAGAAGAGTGACTACAAATTATATCTGAAATAGTATTAGAAAATGGTTAATCTCCCAACAGAATGAATGCAAAACATAAATAAAGTTGATGTGGAAGGTATTACAAAGTGTTCTAGAAGTGTGAAGAGTTACACTAATGGAAAAGTATGAAAAAGGATGCTTCATGGAATAATGGAATGAAAGAGACTGTGGATGAGGAAAAAATGCATAAAAGAGAATGACTGCTAAAAATGAGGATGGAAGTAAAGTTTCGTATGATGTATATAGAAAGGAAATGATGGTTGCAAAGAATGCAGTTAAAAAGCAAACAATAGTTAACATTAAAAAGAAATAGAGACAATTCAGAGTGCTTCTAATGGAAAAAATGTTTTGGAAGAGGGTGAAAAGCGCTAAACAATGAGCCTCCAGCAGAATGAATAGAGTTAAAAATAAAAGTGAAATTATTTGGGTGAAACCAAAGTGAAAAAATGCTGGAAGTATATCTTACAGATTTATATGAGTTTAGCAGTGTTGTATTAAAGAGTGGAAGAAAAGAAAAAGGAAAAAAATGGATGGAAAAAAATCAACTGTTATGAGAATGTTTAAAAAATGGTAAAGCTGCACATGTAGATGGTGTAACTGGAGAAATGTTAAAATATTGACATGATTTGTTTGTAGAGTGGCTGTGTGACTTGTTTAACATGAGTATGAAGACTGCATCTCTGCCTGGCAATTGTAAGAATATTGTTGTTTTATACAAAGGGAAAGTAAAGTGTCAATATAAAAACTACAGAGGAGTTAATTGGTTAAGAATTCCTGGAAGGTGTTTGGGAAAATTCTGGTAGAATTCTTACTGAAAGAATATAAGGTAGAAGCCAAATTTGGGAAGTGCAGCATGGCTTTATGCCAAGCAGCAGATGTGCAGACCATATTTTTAAACAATAAGGAATTTAGGAATGTAAAGAAGAAAATGTGTGTTGATTTAGAGAAAGCATATGATAAAATGAATAAGCTTCAATTATGGAACCTTTTGTGCAATTATAGTGATAGGAGCAGCATATGATGGAAGACCATGAGAAAATAAATGGTATGCTTGGTGAATGGTGAGTAGGGAGTAAAGCAAGAATATATGATGTCCTCTTGGCTGCTTAATGCATTTATTGCCAAATATGCAAGAAATGCATAGTGATGCTAGGGATATGCTTGTTAGGGACATAAAAACATGTACTTCTGTATACAGACAATATTGGACTGTTGGCTGAGAACTCAAATGATTTATAGTGAGTATCAGATATAAAATTATGGATCTGCAAATTAATGTATCAAAGACCAAGTTGTTTGACAGGAAAATGGTGTGAACAAATGCATGTGATAATGCAAAAAATTTCAGCAAGTAGATTAATTTTCATGCCTTGGTAAAATGCTTATTAAGGAAAAGAAAATGGGTGAAAACATTTTAAGACTTGCAAGACAGTGTGAGGCCTGTTACAAAGAATTAATGTTTGTCTAAATAAAAATGTCTGTAAATAAAACGTATTTCTCCTCACTTTATTGTATGCAAGTGGGAATTATGTTAAGAGAAACATAAAAGTAAATTGAATGCAATGTGTCTGGTAAAACAAGAAGAGACAGGGTAAAGGATGAATGTGAATTCATTAGAAAAATAAATGACCAGTTTAAAAAAAGTGTGTTGAGTTACTTTAGTTGTATAAAGCAAATGAATGAGGACCAAGTATATGACGGAAAGGGAAGACCAAGAAAGTCTTGGTTGGTTGGAGTTGATGAAATCCTTAAAAAGAGAGAAGTGAAAGATCTAAAGAAGAAAAGGTAGGCAGTGTATGGAAATAGTGGAAGCAAGGGCGGTTCTGAAGTTATAGAAAGATATAGAGTGGTATGGCAAATAGAACTGGTGTAAACTATAGGGTTTTTTTCTTTTTTCCTATATCCTGCCTTTAGTATTTGCTAACCACTACTTGTCACTCTTTTTCTGTACTTTGTATAACATTGCCTTTCTTAAAAGGAAATAGAGCAATGAGTAAATGCATATGCATGTTCTCTATACTTTTTTTTTGGTGCCTTTGAGTCAGCATCGATTCCTGGGAACTGCCAGGACTCCCTGCAGTTTTCTTGGCAAGATTTTGGAAATGGCTTGCCATTGTCTGCTTCCTAGGGCTGAGAGACGGTGACTGGCCCAAGGCTGGCTTTGTGCCTAAGGTGGGACTTTGTGCCTAAGACAGGACTAGAACTCACGGCCTCCTGGTCTCTAGCCTGATGCTTTAACCACTACACCAGACTGGCTCTTACTCGATTCTTTATTTGGTGCTTTACCATTGCCAGCCAAATTTAATATATTAAGATAGACTGGGTAGAAATATTAAATTAATTAATTTTTTAATGTCAAAAAAGTTGAAGCAACAAGAGTAGTTCCATACACAGTTCCTATCATTTTCAGTTACAAGGCATTTTATACATCCTCTGTTATTTCATCCTTAACAGATGTTCTGTGTTAAGAAAAAGATGTAAAAGAAGCAATGGGAAGGCACAGGTTACACGTGAAGACATCATAATCATACCTCCATAAAATTCAGTGAAGTTTGGGGAAAACCTAATATATTTGATGATATACAGTACCTGATGATATTTTGTTCTTTAAAGTGCATGTACATGTAAAGTTCATCCAATTCTGGAATATGGATTATCCTAAAATTAATGTTTGTGGTAAACCATTATAACTTCACTGGATTATTTTTAAAAGGTAAAATAACTTTTGGAATACATGCACAGTATAATTCAAATTTCATATTACAAGTTGTTATCCAAACAAATTTTCCTCCCACATGAATGGATGGGAAAAACAAATAAGCGAGAGAAGAAACTAGAATATATTTTCAGCTATACAAGAATTTGTGAATAGTATAAAAGAAAACACAATGCTACAAATTACAATTTTTCATATATATTATTAAAATTATCCATTCTTACCACACTTACTTTTTATACTGAACTGTATAAGTTACATTTCCTTCAGAAAAATTTGATGGATCCCACTGGAGAACACTATTAAGCATAACTGAATTAATTCGTATATTTTGAGGCCCTTGTATAACTGCATGTACTGTAATATACAAAGAAGAAATACTGTTCAATGCATGATCTTGATATTCCTTCACTGATAGAAAGAACTCGCATATATATACTGTATGTATATGAGTGTACGCGTGTGTGTGTGTTTCAACATATAAATATAGTTAATTATTTATGTTAATGTCTCCATTTTTAATTATAAATAGCAAATACTGCTGCAGCTACCACTTTCTTTAAAACAGAAGTGCATTCTGGCAGTTATGGTGCAAGGACACTAATATTTAGTTTCTGATTTAAAAAAATAGAAGGGCTCTTATGTTAAATACTAGAAGTAGAAAAGAAGTAGCCACACATTTTTCAAATGTTACAGATGTTAAAAAAAAAAAAAAAAGGAAGTTCATACAAACAATTCAATGAACGCCTAACGCAGACTAGTCATCCCCAAGCACTAGACAAGAAGAACTGGTTGTCTTATGATGTGGTAGATTCTGACAACTTAACCAGCAAAAGTCGAATTGAATGCAGCAGGATATAAATGTAATAAAGAAATGTACATCTCGCTTTTTCTGTATTATTTGTTTAGTTAGACAAAAAGAACTCTGTAGATTGATTCTCCTATTTTTATCACAACATCCATTGAAATATCAGAATTTAAATTTGTTGCAAAAATTCAAATAATTCTATGTTTTATAATAATTTCAAGCTTGTATCCCAACTTTTCCGCCATAGTCAAACTTGTTTTCAAGGAGGGCAGGAATTTATAATATATTCAGTGTACCCTATAGTTTTATGCTCAATTCTCATTATCCACAGGGGTTATGTTCTTGAAAACCCCTGCAGAAACAGAAACCTCGGTTACTGAAGGGTGAGAATATGTGATCTGTTATCAGAACTATATGAAGACTTGTTAACACAACAACACTGCGAGAACAAGAAAGAGGTTTTCTTTGGTGTAGTTCATGTTGATGCTGCACAGCAAGGCTCTGAGACCCTTTCCCTACTGTGCCACATATAGCTGCACTGAAACCGCATTTAATGAAAAATGGGTTATACTTTGATAGAAGTGTATAAGTGAATCCACG